ATGACGAACACGGGCATGGTTCACAGATCCGTTTCCACACCGACTTGGTGTTACCCAGTCAACGCATTCAGTCCTGCACCTTTTGGTCGACAAAGGTCACGTCATACAGTTTAGTGGGCACGGGGTCATCAGAGCGGGGAGGCACGTACGGCAACAGATGTAGGCACTCGATAGGATAGAAGTGGCGCGCGCTCAGCTCATCCAGACCGTCCGTCACCTGCCCGAGTACGCGGGCCTCGCGACGCACGTGGTCGTCGGTGGCCAGTACCGCTTTTCCAAAGACGTGGTAGTTAAAAGTCTTCTCGTTCGGCAGGTACAGGATATAGCCGGCGTGCAGCTGCTGGCCCGCCACGCACAGGGGGAGCTTCTTCATCACCCCGCACGAGTCGTTCAAACGACCCTTAATGACCACGACGCCGTCCTCGGCCCATAGTTCGTCCAAGTAGCACTCTAGTTCACCGGCTTCCATGGCCGCCGTGAAGCTCGACTTCTCATCGTCCGTGAGGCCGCCGTCGATGGGGGCCAGCTTGATGGTCAGTTCTGCCCCGTCCAGAACACGGTCGTCGGCGATCTCCGTGTACTCGATCTCGGCCGTCAGAAATAGCGGCTCGACCGCCCCCAGGATGGCGTCGAGGCGCGCCTGGGAGTGCTTGAGCGCGCGGTGCGCGTCGTGCACAGCTGCCCTGGCCTCGTGCTGCGCGGTGACGTAGGGAAGCACGCGGTGATCCTCTCCTCCAAGACACCCGTCACCTGGGTGCGCCCAGCACCGCGTGCACCACGACGACCTGGAGGCAAACAGGCACGTTAATGACGAGTCTGGACGGCCTCCTGAGGTGCCCGCCATGCGGGATGATTTCGAGGGAAGCAATCGCTCACCTATTAGCAGTGCTGCTAGGAGAAGACTTTCGTGCTGGCTGTGCTGGCTGTGCAGGCTGCGCAGGTTGTGCATGTTGTGCTGGCTGTTGTCCTACCGACGACGCCGTCCCCGCATCAACAACTCTAATGCCCCCAATGTTGTAAGCAATGCGAGGACCAATGGCGATGCCCGCCATCGCGCTCACGGGTACTTGTTGGGCCCCACGTCCAGCATCACCAGCATGGCCATGGCCCCTCTTGTTGTGTTTTCTTCCAGCTCTTCGTCCTCCCATCTCAAGTTCGACAGCGATTTGGAACGGTGAGACAATCGCGAACCTGTCCGTGCATATGAATGGAGAATAGTAGATAATTTTTTTTAAAAGTGTCACATGACATACAAGGTTTGTGGAGAAGCAACAGCAGAGCCAAAACGGAATAGTAGTCCGTCGAAGACGCAGGACAGCGAAAGAGAACGAAGAAGGTAGGAAACAGAAAAAATTATTGCAAATCAGAGTTGACCAACTCAAACAACACTTCATTGTAAAGTGACTAGTGCAAAGATGTGAGCACAATCGCAAAGCGACTCGCGACATTTATTTTTTTCAGTGTACAGTACACGCACCCAACACGCAACACGGCCTGCTGCTTGATATTCCGCGGGCGTCGTACTGGTTCCTGTTTTTATTTATTTCTGCCGTATACCGGCGCCGCCGATATTCGACACCGCCCGCCACGCCATCACAGCGCCAAGACGCACGCACACCGCCCCGCCTCATCGGGTGTTTGAACCCGCGACAGGTGCGCGCCAGCCAAAAGTAATTTTTAAAAAATCTCGAGACCAAAACTTTTTTCCGAGCAAGCTGTGCATAATGAAAAGTTGCGGGCAAGTTGTTATTCAATAATTGATAAAAACGATTCGGGATCGAATTACCAAAATTATATACAGCCGAGCTCGCTGCTCCCCCGCAGCAAAGGGGGTGGCCGCCGGGAGGGGAGGGTGGGGACCGCGTCGCACAACTTCAAGTGGCGTGAGGGAAAGGGAAGGGGGGGGGGGACAAAGCGATCTGCCGCGCGCGCCGCATCGATCAGCTGTCGCTGTCACCAATCAGCCTCACCGCCACCACTCCATACGGCATTCCAGAGGGGTCAGGTCAGCCGGGCGGACAGCCGGACAGGCGCGGACAGACGCGAACAGACTTTGGCAGGGATTACATAAAGCCGCGCGCGCACATATGCATGCTGCATGAGGCCGAAATAATAATTGTAATAAAAGCAAAACAAAAACCGACGCGACGAAACGAACCCCTCTGGCTTTTACTGGCCGTGCACACGAGCATGTGCAACACGATACACACACCACAGCAGCATGCACCTGTCGCAAGCTCTCTGGCCCGGCCGCAGAGCCGCAGCGGCGGCCGACGGCGGCGCACACCGAAAGCCTGGAGCAGCAGGCGCGAGCCCCGCCGAGCAGACGGACGAAGCGGCTCGTCTTCTTCGACTCGGAGCAGCGGCGGCGGTGGTGGTGTCTATACGATCCAATCGCATTGCGCAAGCCTGGAGCCGCTGCGGAGCCGTGACCTCACGGCGTCGCGTCACGACTGGAGGCAAGCGGCGGTGGCGTGGCGCGCGGTGGCGCCTTAAACGTCTGCTATCATCGGGCCGGGAGCGCCTCCAAGGGCAGCAGCGGCAGCCGAGTAACTAATCACGAACTGAAGAGCCAGCCGGCCGCCGCCTCTGTGGGAGGATCCAGCAGCAGGGCCAGCTGCAGGTGGGTGATCAGGGCGAGGCTCTAGCAGCAGGGGCACCTGCAGGCGGGCGATCAGGGCGAGGTGCTGGAGGCTCCAGCGGCAGTTGCAAGTGGGTAACACCTGAAGCACAGGCACCTGCAGCTGGGTAGCTGGGTGCGAGGCGACAACAAGGACCCCCTGCAGCTGGAGGCTCCGGCTGATCAGCCAGCTGCAGGTGCATAAGGAGGGCGGGAGGAGGGTGGCGAGACGCGCAAGTGCAGGACGAGACCGCTGTGCCCCGCACCCCGCTGAGGTGCCATCTGCCAAGCTAAAGCAGAGGACCTGATGAAGGCGACGCCGCCGCCGCCGCCGGGACACGGACGCGCGTCGCGAAGTAGAATGAATGTCCGCTGGAGCCGCCTGGAGGGACCCCCGCGCCGAGCCGGTGCGCTGGAGTCGAGCCGTGACAGCCTCACAAAGTGGACAGCGTGTTTCGCGCAGTCACTCCTTTTACACAGAAGCATGACTGACAGAGTGGCCGCGCGGCCGCCAGCCACTAGTCCGCATTAATCAAATTACTTCACCCCCCTGCTGCTGGCCGTCCCCGGCCCGCCCCAGCCCGCCCCAGCCGGCGCTCCCTAGTTGCGATAAACACCGGCACCTTCCGGTCAAGAGCATAGCGGGGCCCCCACCGGCGGACACCCAAGTGTGTAGAAATGTCGCACGGTTGCAAAGGTGACAATGCTCCTTTCCGAACTGTACGCACACATGTACCCTGTACCTAGGTGTTCAAATAAAAATCCCCACACGCCTTACATAAGTGTGAATGTCACAAACTTGTACCAACAAATGTGTGAATGCTCCTTTGACGAACACCTACACCTGTACACCTACAAGTGTACAAATTAAAATTCACACGCCTACAAGTGTGCGACACTCGCACACTGGGGGGGGGGG